CACAAGGGGACAGAGACAGAGATCAGACTGTGGGGCGAGAGAAAGGGGAGGACTCTGGGAGGGGTATCACTGACCTGGTCTGTGTCTGCATGGACCCCAGGAGATTGGGTGGGTGGAACTTCCTGCTGGACAGCAGCCACGGCCCCATTAGGCATCAGGATGAGTTGGGAGGCAAGAGGAACATTGCGGCCCAAGGTCCGGTTTACCTGCAACAGGTTCCCCAGCTGCGGCTGTTGGGGAAGGATCAGGTGACATGGAATGGAAGGAATGGAGAAGGGGAGAAAAAGACAGCGAACCACAAGCAAACAGATTACAAAGCAACGCTGGGCTGCAGCGTCACACAGCGCAAACCCCCAACCCTCCTTCCACTGTAAAGCTGAGAACAACCTGCAGGAGCAGGAAACTGGCAAAAAAATACTTATGAAAATGAGTGATTGTCTGTGAACCAAATGTGAGCCTGGGCTGACTCCCACAGACGGCCCAGGACTAGCTAGAAGCCTGGAGTATAATTTTCAGACATATGCCCAGGACTAGCTGAGAAGCAAAGACACAAGACATCCGAAATAGGGGTTGTTTGAAAAGGGGATTACATTCTGTATCTGAAGCCGTATGAGCAGAGGATTTTTTTTTTTTCCGGTAGATAACCAAACTCTAGATCAAATCTGACAATAATCAGTGTTTTGTATATAGAATCACCTCAAACTCATCGTTAAAGGATGAGATATTTGTTCACATCAATCTATGCACCCAGACTTGCTTGAACACTGACTTATGTGCCCAAGCTCAGCAATGGTTGAAGAGAGTAATTTACAAGACATATCTGTTCCAGCATTGCATGAGAGGAGCAAATTTACTTCTGTGAGCTATATCCAGGTCTAGGCTATGTATTTCACATTTATACTCTAGTGAGAAGTGCCATGGGATCTTTAACATCTATGCAGAGCAGAGATAAAGATGATCTCACCTGCACACTCCTAAACCACACAATAAAAAGCTCATGTATCCTCGAAAGCTGAACCCAGAGTTAGACCTGTGGTTTCAGGAGCATAACATTTCTCATTTGCATTTAAAATATAACCACACTATCCCTAAAGCTGGAGTTAGCCCCCAAGTAAGAATTTATGTTAGTACTCCCACACAGCAAAACACTAGAGTGGTCAGGAAATGGTGCTCATGATAGGACACGCTTTGTGCATACATCTCTTACCCGGAGATACATCTGGGCCTGGGACTGGTTGAGAGGCGGTGAGGTGGTGTTCCCAAGGAGCACAGACTGTGTGAGGGTTGTGGCGCTGGGGGAGCTCACACTCTGAGAGCGACTGATCAGCTGTGCAGCTGACGTGGTGGCTAGGTTGATCTTAAAACAGAGAAAAGCCCAAATCACATAGGAAATGATGAGGGCAAAGAAACAGGCAGAAATTATCTCATTGGGACACTGCCAGGACAGGCATTTTACACCTTTTTCCTGCCCCGGGGACAAGAAAAAAGAAACTATTGTCTTAAGGAGCTATGCAACCTAAGATTCTGGCTAGTTTATATTTGTATACTGAACCCGAGCATAACTGTTAAAAAGCAACTTTACAGAGATCAATCCCTTGCCCCGCAAAATAAATGTATTTCTCCAGACTCTCAAGAAAAAAACAATCCAAAAAACAAAACACACAGTACCTACCTTACAAACTCTTCTATTCTTTAAATACATCCAATTTCCCCAATACTCAAGATAAACCCAGACCTCTTCTCACTCAACAAGCCACTTTCCTTCTGCCCCAAAACAAGACAATCCCTTTCAAGCTGATCTCCTCCTCTGTCTTAGAAATCATCTCCTAATCCATGATATTGTATCCTCACAGGCTCAGCAAAAACACATCAGTTTCTGCCTTTCCAGCTAAAGAGACCTCTTCCACTCAAAACCTTCTGTTGGCTCCTCAATCCCCACCAATAATGAGAGCACCCCAAATCCTCAAAATTGATTGTATCTTGTGGATTCCCATCATCCTTAGCAGCTGTGTTTTCCTGGCTGATTTCCCTAAAAGACAAAGAGGAGAAAAAGCAAAGAGGGCAAGGCTTTGGTATGCATGGGGAAGCAATTACTTACAGAGGCCTGGGTAGTGGTGGTCTGTTGTGGGGTGCTGGTGTTGGGGGAGCTGGCCTGTCTGCTGGCTGCAATTGTAGCCTGCAAAGAGAGATCAGCAGAGAAATGAACACCTAGAAAAAAAAATGCTTTAAATCCAATCCAAATGTTTGGCTTAGCTGGAACACCTCATCCCAGCATCACCGTCTTCTGCCTTCCTGACAATTGGAACACAATACAACAACTACAAATCTCTGCCATGCCCTATAAAACAGGTGTAGCAAGTCAGCAGGGCACCTCCTCCTCCCCAGCCAGTTCTGCACATCCCTCAAGACATCAGACAAGAGACACTTACGGTGTGTGACCTGCAGTCCTCCACTCAGGGGCATGTATATATTCTGCCACTGTCTCAGCTTGTCCTGCTGCAAACTACGACCCTCATCCTACTGCTCCAACACACTCCATCCCCACAACATTTACACTATGTTGGGCAAGTTGTGTAAGTTAGTAACGGGTTAGTAACAGTTAGTTAACAGTAACTCCAGGTAACAAACTTTGATTACAGCACATATGAGTGGTGGAAGAGGATAAATAATAGGTATTTTTTTCTGTCCTATATGATCCCATGGCAAACAGCCTGTGTGGTAATAGGTTCAGTTAGTCTGCAACTGGGATTTCTGTGATATTAGCAAGAAGATTCTATTCCTCCCACACTACAAAGCAGCAAGTAAGGATTTGGGAACTATCTTTGAGAGAGGTAATCTTTCTCCTCTACTCAGCCCTGGGGAGGCCTCACCGGGTGTACTGTGTCCAGTGCTGGGCTCCCCAGTACAAGCGAGACATGGAGCTACTGGAACGAGTTCTGCAGAGGGCTGCTAAGATGACTTAATGGACTGAAGTATCTCTCATAAGAAGAAAGGCTGAGAGAGCTGGGACTGTTCAGCTGGAGAAGACCAGATTTAGGGGAGATCTTATCAGTGCATGTAAGTATCCAAAAGGAGGATGTAAAGGGGATGTGACCAGACTCTTCAGTAGCACCCAGCAATAGGAACAGAGGCAAGGAGCCCAAATTGAAACAAAGGCAGTTCCATTTGAATATGAGAAAAAAAAATGTCTTTACTGTAAAAGTGACTGAGCACTGCAACAGGCTGCCCAGGGAAACTGGGGAGTCTCCATCCTTGCGAGATCTTCCAAACCCGCCTGGATGCCACCCAGGCGTGCCACGTGTTCTAGGTGTCCCTGCTTGAGCAGCAGGGTTGGACTAGATGGTCTCCAGAGATCTATTCCAACCTCAACCATTCTGCGATTCCTGAACTGACATCAAAGAACTGCAACTACTGATGAAGATGTTACATAGAGAGAACACTACTGGAACATCATACATCAAATTTATCTTCGACCGAGGATAAAAGTCTGATGACAAAATGATGAACAAAGTTGCTAAAGGAAAAAAACATGCCAGATAAGCAGGCTTTATACATTATTTTGATTTATACAAACAGATCTTAACTAAAGAAACACCCTCCTTGCTGGAGATGACCTTCCCCAGATCCATCTTGCTAGTAACTGATAAAGAAAACAAGGAATACTAACTGTAAAGACATAGAAAATTCAGAGGACACCATGTGAAATTTCACGTGTATAAGACCACATGCATTTGCAGGTAAACAACTATCCATGATTCATTTTAAGACAGTTTTAAAATGCTACTGTATCTGCTACTGAAGTAATGATCCATTTTATATTTAAAGGAGGTGCAGGGACTCATCATATGCCACCAAAACATGCCATTTTCACTTATGGGGATCCCAGATTCAACCTTGTCCTGCTCTGTAACTGGAAGTCAGAGGGTTCTATCCACCTAGCTTCGTGTTTCTTTAGTTGTTTACATTACCTTTAAATACATGTTTAGGGACTAGTTGTCTAATCACAAACCAGCACCTCATCATACAAGTTGCTGCATAAAAAGTGACTCTCCCCCAGAGACAAACGCCTTTCAGTCTGCCCCTTGGCAACTCACCTGCTGGACAGCAGCCAAGCTGTGGAACTGGGCACTATTAAGCTGCTGCTGGAGCATAAACTGATGGAAATACTGGGCTGCATTAGGTTGTCTCTGGAGTGCTTGAAGGGCCTGGAGAAAAAAGAAAATCCAACTGTCAAAAAACATTGTGCCCCTGAAACATGATTAAAGAGAGAAATCACGATCTAAGTAACAGCCAGGAGACATCCCTCATCCCCATGAAAAAAAGGTGAAGCCACCAGATTAGAACATCAAAATACGTAGTAGAAGTTCAGTAACAGCCTGAATCACAGGTGTATTCAGGCATAGCAGGAAGAACACTTTTAAGACTTTAAAAAAACTCTTGGAATTTGGAGAAGTGCATCATTAAGTGGACAGATAGACCAGTATTCCTGCATAGTACAGATGTCCCAGAGAAACTGGGATGATAAACAGAAAAACTTGACATAGGACACCAGGCTAATGGCTGACATCAACCTACTGGATCACAGAACTAATAAAATTAAGAAGCTGGACACTGGAGGAGTCACCTATAAAACTGAAGCAGAACATTAGGCCATATGGAATTAAATATATAGTGTATATATACTTATATAAGTGTATATGTAAGTATATGTAACATATATACTTAATATATAATAAGTAAGAATTCTGAAAATCTGAAAACCATCTTCTAAGCGTATTCCTACCTTAGCACAACAGCTTAGATCAATGGAGAAGAACTTACTGCCACCTTCTATGGACAAAAAAAAACAGAACATAACAGTGCCTTACCTGTACGGCCTGTCGCTCATACAGAGACATTTGTGATATCTGAGGGCGGCTGCTTCCTCCAGAACTGGAGCTCCCACTGGTGGAACTGGAATTCTGTTCACTTTCAGTCTCCATGGTGACAAGATCCTGGGAGCTCAGACCGAGATTGACTCCAGACCTAAATCAAGAGAATTAGAAAAACAAGTCATGCTAGAAAAAAGAACCAAAATGTGTTTCATTGCATTATACAGCTTCTTTACTTAAATATCTTGGTGCTAAGTTTCTTACACCACTTCGTCATGTTACAAGGTACTGGGGATCCACTCAAAAGTTACAGGTTTTTTTGTTTGCTTGATTACTACAGTGAAAAATATAACATACATATTCTCAAATTTTTAATGCTATGTTGCAGTGGAAGCTACAGCTAGCCTTCTCAGAAAAGCAGAGGGCTAAGTACCAGCTTCAGCTCACTCAGAAAATCATTTGGTTTACAGCTCTGATCACCTCTGCTTCAAGTCTAGTAAACTCAGGCAAATTACACTGTGCTTCTATTCACCAATTTCACTTTCCTGGTTTGTGAGATAATTTTACTTCTGGGGCTAGAGAAAAGGAGAATCGCAACTCCACTATCCTGCTGCAAATTCACCAACTCATTCCCTGCTTCTCACAGTTTACCCCCGAACCCCTAATTATTCTTTCTTTTTCTTATCCCATGCACTTGTGGGTACTCTCTGTTTCTAACAGTCCATAATTCACATATTAGACTACAGCCAGTCATCTGTTGTGGTAAGTTGCTTTAAGGAGGAATGTAACAAGAGCAGAGTGAATAAAGGGATCACTATGAACAAATGTGACAGGGAAAACTTCTGAAGAGGCCATACAGGGCTAAGGATATCTTTCAGCAGCAGATAAATAGGTGAACTACAGGACTAAGAAAAGACGAGAGAAGGCTCTTTCATCAGCCAAGAGGAAGAAAAATCAAGACTGCAAGGAATGTTTAACAGAAAAGTAACATATGGGGATGATCAGGCTGCTTCCTCCAGCAAGAAACGTGTGTTATACAGGGACTAATAGGAGAAGGGATTAGAACCAGGAAGAGGCAAGAGCAAAAGTGATCAGAAGTGACGAAAAGTGATTTATTCAGTGGAATTCCTTTAAAAAATGGATTTCCTTGAAGCAAACCATCCCGTGTAAGATTTAAAAATATCTTCCAACAGTCTAGGTAACACTAACAGCTTGATTGTTCCCAAAAGCACCAGCTGGCTTCTTTGCAGCCTACCTAGACACTTCCGAGATCTTGTAACACCAGCATAGATATTAGACCTTTTCAAATCCAGGAGCTGTGGGCTTCACAGCTTCAATCCTCTCCACACTGCTTTTTCTAGGTGACTAAACAATCAGACCAACACATCAGAAAATCAGGTACAGTAACATTCTCTCCCAGATATAAGTTCCTAAATTCCGGAATGGTGTTAAGGTGACTTTGAAGCAGGACAATAACATTAACACTGCTGAGGAAGGCTGGCTACATCAGAGAATAGCTGCTCCAAGCTTATTCCTCAAAATCTAAGAGAAAAAAAGTCAATCATGAATAAGCCCATAGATGCTGTTCCAGTTCTGGATCCCTGTGTGGACCTTTGCCTCTAAGTCCTGCCCAGGACTCTCTGTGCTTCCAACACCACCGCCCTATGCCGCTTACACAGTACCATGAGTAATTCTGCCCTATAATCATCTTTTCCTCAACTGTAAGAAGCAACCTCCTAATTGGACATTGTATCCATGCACAACTCCACTACATTTAGGATACAGCCAATAAGCCTACCTAGAACATAAAATCTCTTGAGGAGAAAATTGCCTTAAGTTTTCCCTAAGGGGCAGCAGCACAAGTAAATGAAGCCTGAAAACAAATTAATCAAGCAAATGAGAAGGGAGAGAATACAGACTGTTACAAAGGAAGAAACTTGGGTAAATATGTGAAGTACACCAAATGGGGCCAAAATGCAAGACGGAGTGAAGCCACACACACTACGACCAAGTTATATAATAGCTCTGCTACCATCAGAAAGGAGGAAATGCCTGTTCTCCAGCCTATCCTCAACCTCCCCTTACAAGTTCTCCTACACTTACCTTCCCTCTAGTACCCGCTAGTCCCTCCACCTGTTGATTCAGCTAGATAACTTGGCAGAAAAACTAGCCTAAACCAACAGCAGGCATCATTTTCCACTGATCCTCCAAGTGAGAGAGGGAAAAGAGGAAGCAGCAGGCAAGGGCGCTAAGCAAGCTGTTAGATTCGCTTGGTTGTAGCGTGTAACCTTACTCTCAACAGCTGCCCTCGGAGGAGAAACCTGGTTTCTGACAGGGTGCTCTGCTCACTAACATCCATTTCCCCAGTATACAGCAGTATCAATCTTCCAACGTTTTTGAGAGTTTCACATTGGTCTGAATTTTCTTAAAATCAGGCTCTATCATAAACAGAGTCCTAATGAAACGCTGGTATCTCCGGGATGGAATGTGTGTCAAAAAAACTGTCTCTGTGCAGGCAAAATGCCTTAAGCAGACACCCATAGAGCACCATACTGTTCCTTCACAGAGGATGGTATGAATTTTAATAGTAACTCGTAACTTGCAAGGCTATCCAACTAAACCAACTACCCAACTAAACTTTCCAAACACAAAACTCAAACAGCACGGTACTTCACCAAGCAAGTGGATGCAGGTCTGTGTTAGGGAAATCCGACCCAAACACAGGCTACTCCCAGCAACATAGCCCTGATTTCACCCCCTCCTCCCACACACTCTCCTCCTCCAAGTACATCTTGCAGCAGCATCCTCTTACACCAGTCCAGTGATCCACTGGATGATCCACTGCACTGGTGGGGCTGTCCGACCACCTGATTCAGCGGGCTGCTCCCTAAATGAGAGATAATCAAAACCAACCAAACAATTGCTTTTCCCAACAGATTAAGTTAACCGACTCACTTTGCAAACATAATCAGTAGGTCCCAAGCAATAAAAGGAGGGAAAAATATATGGCCATTATACAAAATTACCTTGGAAAAAGAGCTAAACTGGATCAAAACTAATACAGAACTGCACCCCAAGAGACCAACACGTAAGAAAACAAAAGCCTATTAATATTAATATCAAGACAGGGATAATAGCACTGCAGAAGGGAAGAAAGCTAGCTCACAGAGCAACACGAGTAGGAAAGCACGGTCTACAGCCTGACCTGCACCACTGATTTCAATGCACAGAAGAATATTGGTTGCCTGCTTACAACTACTTGACCTTTCCCAAGCGCAGCAGCAGAAAATTCAGGCCAGGCATCTACAGTAACCACGGAACACTACATAGGAGTTCAAAACCAAAAATCTTACTTGCTCACCCCATCCATTTTTTCTTGCACAGGACTGCTGCCTGCAGAATACTTTCTAACCTTACAACTGCTTTTGTAGCTTCATCCTTGGGAAACCAAGTCAGCAAACAGGTAAGATTTGCACAGGATGGCCCGCAAGATTTAGGAGCCGGGGTGGGG